AACTCAATGGCACCTAACAACAACAACAACAACAACATTCATTCATTTGTTCACTCATAAGAACCCTGCTTGAGATATGAAACCAGGAAAATGATGCTATGAATGACTTACTATGTCGGGAAATTCAGTGTTGAAGATAAAAAGATCTAGAGCAAGAGAAGAAAAATACTTTGGGAGTTTGCCCCCGTAATTGCTAAGGTCTTTTTGAAGAAGAATCATAGAGTGATAAATGTGGAAGAGAGCTAAAGAACCTTCTGTAAAGAAAAATGTGAAGCCCCTAAATGAAGTGATTTGTCTCAAATTGACAGTTTTGTGATGAAGCCAGGAACAGTACCCTTGCCTCCCACACATTCTTTGATCCTGAGATTGGATCTGTTTCTCTTTTCTAAAAGAAATACACATATTAGATGACATGTATAAAAGTACCTTGCACTTTGAAACTAGGAAGGTAGTACATTTGATTCTGTTGATGAGTTCTCCAGTAAGGTAAAGTTCAGTCAGGGTGAGCTGCATGTTTTATCTTCATTATATAAGAGACCCCTAAAGGCAAAGCTCTCGTGGCATAGTGGTTACGAATCGGGCTGCTAACCTCAAGGTCAGCAGTTCAAAACTGCCAGCGGTTCCGCAGGAGAAAGATGAGACTTTCTACTCCCATAAAGATTTACAGCCTCGGAAACCCTGTGCAGGGTCACTATGAGTCGGAACCAACTCCACGGTACAACAACAAAAAAGGCAAAGGGAATTCATCGGCACCTAGTACAATTCTGTATGCAAATGTAGAGTGTACTCCAAATGTTTATTACACAGATGAATTCTACATAATAATTGTGCCTCACAGTCCTTTTTGATAAAGTTGTTGTGTGCTACTGTCATTTTCAACTCATAGTGACCTTGTATAGAATTTCCAGGAACAGCTGGTGGTTATCCTGGAGCGCCACACCAGGTTGCTTAAATTAATTTTCTAGTGTCCACAATGGATTTGTTTTTGTGCACCCACTTAGTGGAGTAAGATGCTTGCTTGAGGTTGGGTGTCTTTTCAGTCTAACATACTGGGTTGGTAAGTGCACCACATCACAAGGTTAAGTTCGTTATATAGGACATAGATTTTGGCTGTTTACTTGGTGGCTAGAGCCAAAACACTAATATTGTTGTTGTCAAGTGTTGTCAAATTGTTTCTGACTCATAGTGACCTTGTATAGGGTTTCCAAGGATCGGCTAGTGGATTTGAACCACTGACCTTGCAGTTCGCATTCTGGTGCTTATCCTTCAGGCCACACCAGGACTCCTATTTGACTATGGCTGGCTGACTGACTGTATGCCTTCAAGTCAGTTCTGGCCCATAGCGACTCTGTATGGGTTTTCCAAGGCTGTAAATCTGTAAGGGGGCAGAAAGTCTCATTTTTCTCCTACAGAGTCCATAGTAGAGTTAAACTGCTGACCTTGTGGTTAGCAGCCCAACATATAACCCACTACACTACCAGGCTTCTGACTGTTGTTATTGTTAAATGCCACCAAGTTGGTTCTGACTCAATAGCCTGTACAGGATTTCTGAGGAGCAGCTGGTGAGTTTGAACTGCTGGCCTTATGGTTTGCAGTCCAGTGTTCATCCTATAGCACCACACAAGGAGTCCAGCCTCTGACTTATCAATGTGGAAAAAAACAAACAAAACTAAATTCAAAGTAGGTTTGTATATACTGAGCATGCTTGTCACAACCACAAGACTGGTGGTTTGAGCCCATCGACTGTTCTGCAGGAGAAAGATGAGCCTTTCTGCTCCTGTGACGATATAAAAAGTCTGGGACCATATATAGGGTCTCCATGAGTTGGAACCTACTCAACAACGCTTAACAACAGCAACAAGGTTTTATGGCAGTCCATTTTTAAGTATAAGTTGTCTTAGAAGTAGGATGTTATTAGCCCAGGAGTTATTAAACCAGAAACCAAAACCAATGTTATTGAGTAGACTCTCTGACTTAGTATATTAGAAAAATTTTTGATGCTCAGATTTAATTTCCAACTGCCTATCTTTATATGTTGTTAAGTGCCATTGAGTTGCTTCCAACTCATAGCAACCTTGTTTAGGGTTTCCAAGGAGTGACTGGTGAGATTGAACCACTAACCTTGTGGCTCAAACTGACCTTGCAGTCCAACGCATTAACCTACAGAGCCACACCAGGACTCCATATGAATATGTATGTGTCTATATATGTATATATGTGTGTGTGTGCATATTCATACATACATACCTATAGACACACACACACACACACACACACATAGATATGTATGTATGTATGTGTATACATAAGTCCTGGCGCTGCAGGATAAGTACTTGACCTTTAGCCATGAGGTTGGCAGTTCATACACACCAGCCACTCCTCAGGAACCCTATACAGGATCGCTGTGAGTTAGAACTGATTATATCGCACTTAACAACAAGTATTGAGTATAATCATATACAAGGGGCTTTCAAAAAGCTCATGGAAAAATCCCATTATCTTTTCATTCAATTTATCTACAAATTTCTTGAAGCCTTCAAAGAACCTTTAATGATCAGTCTCTTTTCACTTGCAGTTTCTTGGCCCACAATTACCTATGGGTTCAGAATGCTACATAATAGTATCAGAATCCATTTAAAAGGCATTAATGCAGCCAGAGTTTCCTGAGACTTTAGTTAAGGTTTTTATTCTCTTTTCATTCTTGTGTTTGCTTCATCATATGCGGGTTAAATCATAAGTGTTGTACTTCTTCAGTTAATTTGAGTTTTTAAAAAGTTTTCCCAATTTACAGCTTGGCCTTTGTGCCTTTTTTTATCCATCATTTTAATTTTATATTATCTAATTTGTATGTTTAAGGAGACATGCTTTACCATCATGATACTGATTAAAAATATACCTTAATTTTTGTTAGCTTCCATGATTATCCAATACTAATTATTATTATCCAATATTAAAGCAATATGGAGAACTTCCATTGAGTTTGTCAGTATACTGGCTAAGGATATGGAATACTAAACAATACAAAGTTTGTAGCCTAAGTATGTCATCCTGAGTTTGGAATTATTTGGTTGAAGAGGAAGTTCATTCTTGGTGTGAGGTCATTCTGCTCATCTGTTCAGCCCCTTACACGTGGACAAGACTGTAATACAAGGTACAATGTACAATCTTTCCTCTTTTGTGCTGCGTCAACAACTTTCTGGACCTACCGCCCCTTCATTTGTAGTATGAGAGATTGGACACATCAGGCGCCATTATTGCTGTTTCAAAGTCATTAAGTTTTTGTAAACCCTTACATTCTTATAGGTCTAAAGTTCTTTGAAGAAAATTACTTTAGCATCTTCATTATATTACCATCACATAGTTATTCTGTTCTTCAGTATTATTTTCTGTTGTGGTTTCATACCTTAGAGATGCATTTGTGTTTATAACATTTTACTCAACAGTTAGAAAGTAGAGCTATGGAGTAGCACTTTCTTGAGTAGTTTTGTTACAAAAGAGCAAGTTGATTGCTAGGAACTTGTACATAATAATGCCAGAGCTGGGAGAGATCAGGAAGGCAGTCTTACGTTGACATCACTTTGTCATAGTTGTTGGCAACATTTTACAGAAGTAATCTGTCTCACCTAGCACCAGCACCATACAAATACCAGTGTAACACTTCATTAGAGGAAGACCTTCAATGAGATGAGCTGACACAGTGGCGGTAATAATGGATGGGCTCAAATGTAACAACAATTGTGAAAAAGATGTAGGACCAGGCCGTGTTTCATTCTGTTGTATCTAGGGTCATTATGAGTAGGAACTGACTCATTGATAGCTGCCAACAGCAGCACTTAATTATAAAGCAGAATTATGAAGTTATAATGATAAAAGCTTAAGTCCATTGGTATAGCATTTGTACTATTATTTTAAGATGATTTTCCTTATCTGGTGTGAGTGTCCTGTATTAGTTCCCTAAGGCAGTCATAACAAATCACCACAAACATGAAAGCTTAAAACAGCTACAATTGATTTTCTCATAATTCTGAAGGCTGGCTGTTCAAATCAAGGTGTCATCATGGCAGTACTGTTTCTGATGAATCTAGGGGAGAATATGTTCCATGCCTTTCTCTGAGCTTCTAATATAGGCAGCAGTCCTTGGCATGACTTGTAGACACATCGCTCCATTCTCTGCCATTGTCATCATGTGGTGTTGTCCTGTATGTCTGTGTTTGTCTCATCTAATTATAAAGACTCCAGCCATATTAGATTAGCACTCACCCCAGTGACCTCATCTAACTTGATTATATCTGCAAAGACCCTATTTCCAAATAAAGTCACATACACAGGTACTGAATATCTTCTAGAGGGAAACAATAGCATCTCCCTTCTATATATCTTGCTGTTTAAGAGTCCTGGTGTGGTGCTGTGGGGGGGATAAAGCACAAGACCATAAGGTCATTTTGAACCACAAGGTCGGCAGTTCAAACTCACCAGCTGCTCCTTGAAAACCCCAATACAGTGTTGCTATGAGTTGAAGTCGACTTAATGGTGCCTAATAGCAACAACAACAAAAAGTTGCCATGAAAACAGTTAAACTTACCGCATTAACAAAAAAGATTTGAATTCCTCAATGCCTATATTAGTGAAACCATAGGATCATATTTTGAGTAAGAGAAATAGAATGCATGTTCTAATTTTAATCCTATTCCTACATTTTAATGTAATGCAGTGTCGAGTGTCTTGTTTATAGCACACACCTTGTACTTTGTGTGTTAAGTCTCTTAGTTTCATAAGACGCCACTTACGTTATACTCAGTTTGCCTCACTTATGTTTCCTTACCTCGGCAGAGCCAGCAGAATGCCTGACAAGGGGCTTCATGCTGGTCCTGGTGAGACCGCCAGGTTGTGAGGGAGTTGCTTGTTGACTCACTCAAGCCATTTGGCTGTGGTCATTTGCTGAATTGAAAATGTGGAACAAAACTGAAAGAATAATGCCTTCTTATTTTCTTTCATTGCAGGCTCTGTACAACTCAATCAAGAATGAGAAGCTTGAATGGGCAGTGTAAGTGTGCTGGATCCCAGCCTTTTAGTAAATGAACTCCTTGCTTTTTTCTTACAGTCTTTATGCCTTGAAGGTGATCCTTGAGCACAATTAAATATGCATGGCCTGTTCTCATTTGACACCAAGTATCCTACCTACTTGGTATAAAACCTAAAGTATATTACTATATCCCTGAGTATCCTGTATCTTTTCCATGGTACTTAGCATTCTCTTATTCTGCTTTTAATCTGATTGTTATGGCATGGGCAGTTATCTTTTTTAAGTTGTGGTTTGGGAGAAAGTTTACATAAAATAATTAGTTTTCCATTCAACAAGTTAAACATTTTTTTGTTTTGTGACATTCGTTGCTGTCCTCTTATGTAACAACTTTTTGCTGCTCTTTGCATTCCCCATTTCCATTCTTCCTTGTTTTCTGTTCCTTCCTGACTTTTGAGCCTTGTTTTTGGATAGAATTATCTTTTCTAATGTGTCTTTATAAAAAAAAACTTTAAAAATAGCATCCTAAATGAAAATTTGCTGATAAAACTGCATATGAAATTAAATACTAATGATTTTGGTACTATTTATTTTAATTCTTTCTCATCATCATAAGATCACTGTTTTCCAGTCCTGTTTCCTGTATCATTAACTATACAAAGAGTTTGATAGATACTAATGCAAAAGAAGGGTTCTATGGATAGATAAGGTTTGAAAATTATTGATTATTGATTAAATTTATTGATTAAATAGAGTTTTAAAAAATTCTCTTTAGCTGCAGAATATTTAGGAACTTGTACAAACAATGCCAAAGTGTGTTACCAATCTCCAAAAGATGAATAGAGTTTGTAATGTTTCCTCAATTTGGTAGTAAAATGTAGTTTTTCAAGGTATAGTAAAACCCCCAAGTTATGAAGGCCCCCCATACAGACAACCTGTTGTTGTTATGTGCTGCCGAGTCTGTTCTTTCTCATTCCAACCCTGTGTGCTACAGAATGGAACACTGCCCAGTCCTTCCCATCTTCACACTTGTTACGTTTGAACCCACAGCTGCTGTGTCAATCCATCTCCTTTGGGGTGGAGATGGTCTTCCTCGTCTTCAGTGACCCGCCACTTTACCAAGCCTGATGTCCTTTTCCAGGACTCCTGGTGTGGTGCTGTAGGATAACTAATTGATTACTAACCACAAGCCCAACGGTTCAAACCCACAAGCTGCTCCTTGGAAACCCAGTACAGGGTCACTGAGTCTAAACTGACTCCCAAGGCACTTAACAACAACTAAGTCCCCCCTTACCCTTTAATGTTATGTCAATGTTTGATGTAGTAGATTGGTACAGTAGGTTTTATAATCTTATAATCTTTACTTAGTGGGACTTTGTATGAGAAATGTTTACCTTGGGTTCTGTCTAGAGTTGGGAATTCCGTAAGCAGATCCTTGTCAAAGTCAGCAAAGCATTGTGCTTACAAACCTGATTCTAGAGTACAACAGATTCTGGCTTTGCCATTTACTGGTGAGGTCATTGGACCAAATTAAATAATTTCCTGGCCTGCAGTTTTGTCTTCTGAAAGAAAGCAATTATCAGGCCTTAGGAATGTTCTCAAACACTTAACATAAAACAAGTTAGTTACCTTTTATGGTAGCAACATTGGAGCTTTTAAAGCTGTAATTTCTGTCTTACTTGTCTTGTTCCTTTTTATTTCCCTCTCATTTATATGCTTTCATATCTGCACGTATTCATCATTACCTGCCAGGGATAAAACACTGATAGTTTATCATATAGTTAACTTTCTTTTTCATGTATAAAATTATAAGAGTGAATGAAATGATCAACTAATATAATTTCCAGTCTTAATATTATGTTGTTGTTGTTAGGTGTTGTTTGTGATGTTTCCTAGATCTATTTGGCAGTAAAATGTAGCGCTTCAAAGTACAATAAGACCCTGAGTTATGAACATCCCACCACTTACAGACAACCTATATGTTGTTGTTAAGTGCTGTCAAGTCAGTACCAACTAACCCTGTGTACAGCAGAACAAAGCACTCTCCAATCCTGCACCAACCTCACAATCATTGTTACACTTGAGCCCAGTCTTAATAATCTTATTAATTTCTGAATTTTACTGTTTATCAGTGTTTGCTCAAGGTGACTTCCTGAGGAAAGAACGCTGCTATTGCCAGAGTGTATTAAACAAAAGGGATTTATGAGTCACATAAGTTGCTGAATAAATTCTGAGATCAGGTTAAACAGATTCCTCCACTGCAGGATTTTAATCTTTTGCGATCTGATGTATGTTTTGAATTTCAATGGGAGATACAAGGCTAGTATCCCAGCCTTTTTGGTCAATGCATCCTCTTTGGATCCTAAAGTACCTTAGCACGTGTATTGGAACTAGTGTTCTCTCTGACACGCTGTAGGAAACTCTGTTGTGTATCACTTTGCCTCATCTTTCAGATCAGGAACTAAGCTTTTGATAAATACATTGATACCCTTGTGTATTATTACATATGATGTTGTGCTCTGCTAGTTCTTGGGCCTCTCTAACTACCCTTTTCCACCGCTTGTCTGTCAAGTTTGTTGTACTTTGGTAGCTTGTGTGATGCTGGAAGCTTTGCTAGCAGTATTTTAAATACTGGCAGGGTCACCCATGGTGAACAAGTTTCATCTGCGCTTCCAGACTAAAACAGACTAGGATGAAGAAGAGGCAGACTATTTCTGAATCATTAGCCACTGAAAAGATTATGAATAGCAGGTGGACCTTGTCAGATATAGTGCCAAAAGATGAAAACATTATGAATAGTAGCATAATATTGTCAGATATAGTGCCGGAAGGTGAGCCTCTCAGGTTAAAAGACACTCAAAATACAACTGGGGAAGAGATGCCTCCTCAAAGTAGAGTTAACAGTAATTACTTCCGTGATCTCATTAGTGTTGTTGTTGTTTAAGTACCATCAAGTCAGTTTTAAATTAAAATGTTTCCTGTCTGTCCACACGTATCAAATTGCCTTGGCTAATTAGAGTGCATGGGCATCTTTCTGCCTTGCAGATCGTATAGTATGATCATATGTAAAAAGTTTAGCAGTTTCTTATTTGACGTCTTCATTTCTTCATTATGAACTGTAGTTGAGACTGTTCTTTGAAGAAAACCAGTGCTGATAATTTACAGAGTAAATTACTAAATTATGCAAGAAGATGAGGCTCTCCAAAGATTTCCTACCTTTTCTTTATCATCACTATGTGTAATGCTGTCTGTGAGTATGAAAGTGTGCAAATGTTTGCATCTATGTGTATTATGGGGGAGTGATAGAGAGGCAGTGGGTTAACTAGTACTTGTCCTTTTATGAGGACACTTGCATTCTTTATTCAAAGCAAGGATCAGAATCTGAAATTAACAACTACTTCCTCAGCAGGGCTTCAGACTAGTTGTTCTTGGTTCCATCATGGTCAAGGGAGCAAATTTTTATATTTTGGATGACTGGAACAATAATCAGAGTGGGAAAAATAAATGGGCTGAAGCCCTGATAGAAAAGTAATTTCCCTCTTAGAAAGTAAGATCAGTGTGTCTGTTGCATAACAGTCGTATCTCTTGCCTGTCAGATTTGAGCAGAGTCAGAAACAGCAGTGTTCCACTCAAAGATGGCAAAGTGTGGTTCTCCACTGTCCTGGAAGTGATCCAGTCTAATGCATCAGGGTCCTGAAAGGGCTTACTGTGTCTCTTCCAGATCTCCCTTTCCAGAGCTTCAACCCATACTGTGTCCTGTTCTGGTTCTCATTTCAGATTGTCAACATTTTAAAATCTGAGGTCTGTTTCAGTTTTGCTTTGTGGGCCGTGACTCAACCATTGCCAGTTAATAGAAAGCCCTGTTCACAGTCTCTTTGCTCTGTGATATCTTAAAAGCCATTTTTCCAGATTACAACACTTCTGGAACTTTCTTATGCCCGTTACTTTGTCAGTATTGATTCTAATTGTATTTTTGCTAATTATATATATAATTTAAATTACGGTCTCAATTGTGGCTCTACAGAGAATGTCCATCTCTGAAGGACAAATACTTTTTTATTTACCCAAGAGGATTTTTCTTTTAATTTATACAGATTTAGATGAGCCTCACGTTCAAGTTATAAATGTGATTCTTTGCATTGCACTTAAGATTTCTTGTACATTTTCACCTTTTATGGTATTTCTCCCTAATCTTTTTACAAATAACATTGAAATACCTCAGGGAGAAAAACTGAAACTCCTCTTATATACTAGGAAAAGGGTGCTTACTACTCTCATATTAAGAGTCTCAGTGTGGCACTGACAGATAAGCACTGGACTGCTACCCACAAAGTTACTGGTTCAAACCCACCAGCCACTCCTTGGAAACCCTATCCAGGGTCACTATGAGTCATAACAAACTCAATGGCACTTAACAACAACAACAAAGTGTTATTTTAATAAATAATAATTTAACCTCAAGACAAATTGTCTATTTTTGTTTCCACAGAAAAGATGCCTTGTGATCATTTATTTTATGTGTATTTTATTGCCTTAATGTCCAGTGAATCTAGGTATATGAAATTATTCATCAGAATAGTGTTTCTTCATAGTAGATACAGGTAAAGGAAGGGAAACTTCATTGTTCAAACAAGTTTTGTTTGCATAAAGGACATATGTTGATACTTGGATTTAAGGAGTCCAAAGATAATTATCATTTTCAGTTTCAATAGTCATCTGTAGCTTGGTAAAAATTACTGATATGGAAACTAAGGTCAATAGAAGTTGCTATGCATTGGACAATGTTTGTAGATATTGGAAACACAGTAAGTCTGTAAAACAAATATCAGGTTGAGAATATAGGAAAAGAGGTAGGAGGACTGGTATTAGAAGCTATTGGTAGAGGTCCTAATTGATTAGGTGACTACTTCAGAAAAATTAATAAAACTCAGATGAATTATTTGATCAAGAAAGTATCAAATCCAATCCCCAATTTTGAGTGTTCATACTATTAAGCTTAACTTTCTAAATATGTATTTTTTAAT